CTCTCTCTCTCTCTCTCTCTCTCTCTCTCTCTCTCTCTCTCTCTCTCTCTCTCTCTCGCTCACACACACACACTCTCTCTCTCTCTTTCTCTCACCACGTGTGCAGTCGGCCGCGCGTCTCGCTGTTGGCGACGATGACGACGACGAAGACGACGATGACTCGCGGACCGGTTCTCCGCTGCCGGAGGTGACGACGGACACCGCGCCCGCATCAAAGCGGACATCATCGGAGGACCCCGTCCTGTGGAGTGAGTCCACGTAACTGCAACTGCGTTTGCTGTTGTCTGCACGTGTGAAGGCTCGCTTGCAAAGCCTGCCACTTGCACCACCACAGCTTTGATGGTTCTTTTCACCGTACACAATCACATCTCACTCACATCACACCTCACATCACCTATCATCACCACCATCATTATCACCACCTCAACCCCAACCCCGCCTCCTGTTCAGCCGGCGGTTCATCGCGGCCCGGCACGTCCTCTGGCCGTCGCAGTCCCATCAACATCTTCCGCTCCCGCAGCCCTGGTGCCGATCGCCCAACGAGTGCAGGCGGCAGCAGGCGGAGCAAGCGCAGGCCCGGCAGTCCGAGCTTCAAGGCGCTGTCCTTCTTCAGGCCGCGCAGCCCAGGCGCCTCGTTGCGATCGGGGCTGGCACGTGCGGAGAGTCCTACCTTGGGGCGTGCCCTGGTTGAGGAGGACAGCAGCGCAGACAACAGTCGCGTCAGTGGCGACACGACCATGGACGACGACGACTCTGCTCTGGGACGTGGCGGTGGTTTGCCTGCAGGCAAAACAGAACGCAAGGACCACCGTATGGACGATGAGGACAAGGCATCTGCAATGAAACCGCGGCCAACAACAGCACCGGCCAGCCCGAGCGGACGAAGGAGTGGGCGGAGACAGGAATCCGTCACCTCCCGCGCAGCGCAAAGTACGTACACGTCTTGTGTTTGTGGGGTATGTGTGCTGTGTTGTGTTGTGTTGTGTTGTGTTGTGTTGCTTTGTTTTTGTGTTATGTTGTGTGTGTGTGTGTGTGTGTGCGCGTGTGTGCATGAGCACGTCACATGTGCGTGTGTGTCTGTCTGTCTCGCTTTCTCTCCTTGAACACCCCCCTTTGGTTTTTGTGTGATCGCCATATCCACCATCCTCCTCACGACATTGCCTGACGTTATTCATGCCACCAGTTGAGGACCAGGTACGCCGCACCACCGCCGACACAAAGAAGCCCCCAGCGCACGAGACGCCAGTATACGTGGTGCGTATTCCTACCGCCCACAGTCACCTGTCACTTTGCTTGTTTTGGACTTGTGTCAATGCCACACACACACACACACACACACACACACACACACGCACACACACATGCATGACTGCTGGTGCGTGTCCTCCTTGATCCATTCTCGCCATTCAATTAACCCGTGCACACGGCCTTCTCATAACTGCTGTCTCAAATATGCACAACCATCACCCTTGTTTCCACATCCAACATCGTCTCAATCACCGAATCCCCCCCCCACACGGCGTCATCGTACATGTGCTGTCACCATCTGAAGGTTCCACTGTCGTCGTCATCACGAACGCGACCGCTGCGCTATGCCGGCAGTTACGACATCGACCCCTCCATCTCTCTCAAGAGCGCCCGCCCCATCATCAGCAAAGCCATCAACGTGCGCGGCTGTGCCTCTGTGTGTGGGGGGGGGGGTGTACGCGCGCCTGTGTACCTGTGAAGATGTGTGTATGTGAGTGAGTGGGTGGGTGTGGGTGGGTGAGTGGGTGTGGGTGTGTGTGCCTGTGTGTCTGTGTACCTGTGTATGTGTATGTGTGCGTGCACGTACGTTCATCCTGTTCATTGCCGCCATCAGCCGTGCACTCACACACCCCTCGTTCATCATCATCATCATCATCATCATCATCATCATCATCATCATCATCATCATCATCATCATCATCATCATCATCATCATCATCATCATCATCATCATCATCATCATCATCATCATCATCAT